TGTTTAGATGGCAGCCACTTCCTCACCTGAAAGGCCTGACTTCCTGTTAATCCCATGCTAAATCAAGGCAGTATTTATTTGGTTTGTTTTGCAGAAGTGTGGGCCATGAAGAGAGGAACTATTGCTGGTTCCTCTCTTCATATCATAGAACATGTGACGGTAAATTTCACAACCTAAATAGACTCTCAGTGATGTTTAGTTTAGATTTGGTAAGAGTGGGTTGGCTGGTGTACACAGCAGGCCTGTAAAGTAGGACTATAACGTAGGCAGGGCATAAAACGTTTATTGTAGATTAAGGAATAGATTTTGTTATCACAGAGTACACACTGGACATCAACGAAGCTAATTTAATGTTAAAATGTGATGGAGTGGCCTTTATTTTCTTTTTAAAATGCTGCATTAGGCGTACCCATTCTATTCCTCTGAAAGGACAACCTTTACAGGATGCCTGTGCCAGGCACCGAGCACTAAAGAATGTAAGGAAAAAATTTAACCTCAAATTCTTTTCATGCAGCAGTGTTATGACAAAGTAGATCAGATGAATCAACGTAATCATGTTATAAATAGTGTTAGTGAATAGTAACCAATCAGTACTTGACATCCTGAAGTCTTAAATAGCTGGTTTTGAGGTGGGGTAATAATGTTGCATTTTTCTGCACATCTCTTAAAATTTGAGTTGGGTTTGGCACTGCTGAAGGTCCTGGCTTTCAACCCATCTGGTTTTGAACATGTGAAGTTTCCATGTTCTTCCTGGGTTTGTGTGGGTTTCCTTTGGTCGGTGTTATTTCTCCTGACACCAAAAACATGTTGGCTTAATTCTCTCGTCATTGTTCCCTAAACCATGGCAATGGGTTACATCTGGAGTTAGTTCCCTATGCTCTACAGTGGCTAGCCACTGCTCCTGATAACTCCAGGTGTTGTGCCAAAAAGTGATCGTCTGCCAGAAAGTGATTGCCACCTGCAGGAGTGTGCGCAGCTACTTAAAGCTATAGCGCCCAGATTACTTACATAGACAGCTACTTTCATGCAACTGATATAAGGTGCGGTAAGCTGAAGACAGCTTCAACTGTCTGTTTGTTGAACAATAGTAATGCGACTGCACCGCATTTTCTTGTTAGTAACGGTAACGGCGTTGTAACAATAGCAATAGTAATTAGTTAGATTACTCGATACTGAAAAAAAGTATATTTTGCTAAGTCTAACTGTGTGTATCAGTCAGTAAGGAACATGCTGGGAATTCTTAGTGATTGCTGCCCCCCTCTGGTTCCTTTTTGTAATTACAGTTTAGATCCAGTAATCATTTTAATTGCTAGACTGTGTTCAGCATAATCATCATGAAATCCTTTAGAATATATATTTTTTTCATACTTCAGAGAATTTTTACTGCCTGCTCTCAGTTTCTGACTTCCTGGTCTCTTTACAGGTGTGGCAGATTCCGGAGAATGGCCTAGTCACTTCCATGTCTGAGCCAGTGGTGATATTGGAGGGCCACTCAAAGCGTGTGGGCATCATCACATGGCATCCAACAGCACGAAACATCCTCCTTAGTGCAGGTAAGAGCTCTGGCAGTGTTTCCAAATCTATAAAACAATGCTGCCTTCAAAACTTGATGATCAGATTGAACACAAACCTCACCATTACCTTTATCTGTCACCAGGTTGTGATAACCAGATAATCATCTGGAATGTGGGCACCGGTGAGGCCATGATCAACCTGGAGGACATGCATCCTGATGTCATTTACAATGTGTGCTGGAACCGCAATGGAAGCCTTATCTGCACTTCCTGCAAGGACAAGTCCATCCGGGTTATTGACCCCCGCAAGCAGGAGATTGTTGGAGTAAGTAGTTTGCAAATAAATTGTCATATTTTCTGTTTTTATATTGAACTGTATCTGAAGTATTTAAAAGGTAAATATGAATTCAGGTGCAGGGATTTTTGATTTGGAAGTAGAGAGACTAGTAAGCCCCGGTATGGTAACATTGTTCCCTTAAAATTGTTGTTAGCTGTGAGTCTGAATTATGAATTACCAGTTTTAGTTTGGATTCAGACCAAGGACTGTCATGGGAAACAGTAATTTGCTACAAAGGTGTTGTAAAAATTTACACAATGTGCCTTGGCTGCTGTAAGCACCTGAGAAAATAGGGCAGTAACAGCACCTAAAGTTTAATAACAAGTACAGATGCATTCAAATTTTGCTGTGAATGTCGGAGCGGAAAAAAGACAGAGTGCAGCCAGAATTGCATTTGAGTTAGTTTATCAGGTTAATGATATAACATAGACCTCCAAAAACCAGAATGCAAGAAGTGTCGGAAAGTGGTTTGTTTTTTGTTTTGGTTTGTTTTTGTTAAATAAGAGGTTATGTTTAAATGCGTTAACTTGATTGATAGTGTTGTAGAATTGAAGTGGTATTTGCTTGTATCATCGTCAGCCTCTTAGATTTCTGGTATTGTGACATCCCTGTTGATGCTGGGTCAGGCTTCCCTTTGATCTCACAGCAGTTTCAGTTCTTTGTGGTGTGGATTGGGCAAGATGCTGAAATCCTCCCTTTGAGATTGTGCTCCAGTGTTGACATGATTGCATTACGTCATTCTGACAGCTTCTGATTTAATGCTTTGATTCTTCTGTTCCGTACATTCCAAACATGCTCTGTTGGAATCATACGAAATCTTTCCTTGTCCCTAAAAGCCAAGGATTCATCCTGGGATTTGTAGATTCATGGAGTTTATAACCAAAGCCTGAGCCTTCCTTGGCAGAACTAAAGCTGAGAAACATCACACCAAACCATGTTTTTCCCAATCTTCAGCTGCTCACATCGAATCAGTGCAGAACTGTGCTTAGTGGAGTTTTGTTTAAGCTGTTCTGATGAAACTTTGGAGGCTGTTGTGGTGAAAATCCCATCAGTATCAGAAATGCTGAATATTTCTGATGCATTCATGCCACATTTAAAATCACCCATACCAGAATTTTCCTTTCATAAAACATCAAAAATCTTCATTCAGACTTGTGTTCTGCGTATTATTTCACTTCTGCCTGATAGTTGTCTGATTAAATGATCACACCAGTAAGCAGGTTTATGAGTGTTCCTACCTCTGACCTCAGCAGAAACAAACATGATGAACTGCAGATAAGGCAGTAACACGGACTCGCAGGGCTAACCATTAACCTCTATTTCACAGGAGAAAGAGAAAGCCCACGAGGGCGCTCGCCCCATGAGGGCCATTTTCCTTAGTGATGGAAACATCCTCACTACTGGCTTCAGTCGCATGAGTGAGAGGCAGCTGGCTCTCTGGAATACGGTAAGCTGCTTCACAATAACTAATGATGAAATGCAGAGTGGTGTATGAACACAATGTGAGTGGGTGAAGAAGAAATGCTCAGTGCATCATGGGAATCCCCCATTCGCATGATTAAGGGAGGGTTCAGGGTCGCCCGATCACTATAAGGTTTGTTACTGATCATTGCTGTTGTAATGATAAACTTGTGTGAGTTATAAGGGCTTCTGAGTTGATTAAAGATCTATTTCCACACCAGTTTGCCTCATTATGGACTTGGTATGTAAAGCTGTGTTTTAATGTTTTTGAACAGTATTGCCTCAAATTAATCTTTCTTCTGTTTTTGTTTTAAGCAAAACTTGGAGGAGCCAATGACTGTCAATGAGATGGACACCAGTAATGGAGTGCTTCTGCCCTTCTATGACCCAGACACCAATGTCGTTTACCTCTGTGGAAAGGTGCGTTTCCTTCTAAGCACCCAATAATCAAATCAAGCATTGTTCTAACACAAAGCTTAATGTCTCAATTTAAATGTGTACACATTAGAAATAAAACACTTGTTTATATCCTGATAGGGAGACAGCAGCATCCGTTACTTTGAAATCACAGACGAGGCTCCCTATGTTCACTTTCTGAACACCTTTGCCAGCAAGGAGCCCCAGAGGGGTATGGGCTACATGCCAAAGAGGGGCCTCGATGTCAATAAGTGTGAAATTGCAAGGTAACCCAAGACTGGTCCTAAATCATCATCTCTGAAACCAGAAATCGTTTTGATTTTATTCCATCATCTCTAATGTGGAGTTCATTGATTGACCACTAGGAGGCAAACTGTAACCGTGATACAACAATCCACAGGAAACTGCTGTTTTTATTGTGTAATGATGTATTGAACTGTGAGTAACACCAGACTTTTTATGTTGCAGGTTCTATAAACTGCATGAAAGAAAGTGTGAGCCTATTGTGATGACTGTGCCTAGAAAGGTGAGTACTCGCCCTAACATGCTACTTTGCAGCAGCTTTTAGACCTCTAATCTACTCTTTAAATCACAAGCACCACATTCACAAGTTCTCTTTTCCTCACAACTTATTGCTCTATTCTCTCCCGTCAGTCGGACCTGTTCCAGGACGACTTGTACCCAGACACAGCTGGTCCAGATCCTGCTTTGGAGGCTGAGGAGTGGTTTGATGGTAAGAATGGAGACCCCATTCTCATCTCTCTGAAGAATGGCTACGTCCCGGGCAAGAACCGTGAATTCAAAGTGGTCAAAAAGAACATGTTGGACAACAAGGTCACCAAGAACTCAGAGAAGTCGAGCTCTTCCAACAAGTCCTCCCACCCAGCTCCATCAATTGTGAGTGTTTGCTTTCATCAGTGTGTCCAGTTAAAACCGGTTTAACAGTACGTTGTCACTCAGTCTCAGACGTGTAGTGTTGAGGAGTAAGGTCGTTTTTTTTTTTAAACAGTTTTTAATTTTGCATGATTAGATTAAACAGTAGATTGAGATGCCTTATTTCACAGTCTTACACTGTATATGTTGAGGTCCCTGCATGTAGGTCATGCTATGCCACTGTCTCATCTCCTTGCAGGTGGCTGTCTGGGGCTCCTAGCGTTACATTTTTTTTTTTTTTTTATTAGTCATGGCAGATTGCTGCCAAACTTAGATGAGGTGGTTTGTAAATGTTACTCGTCCCACTCTGGCGCATAGAGGGAGAGGTCTTCTGCTGCTCTGGGCCCCTGCTCCTGGGCGTCCAGCAGCACCTCACCCACAACACAGCCTTGGTCCCAGCCCATGTGTCTCTGTGAAGGTCTGCTCTGTAATCATAGCCCACTGGGCTCCAGTGGTGTTGAAAGATGTTAACCCTCAGACTGCCAGATTCTACCACACTTGATTTAAAACAAAACTTGGGATGTTGTCCCAAAGGGCCTTACATGTAGCACAGATTAGAGAGTAGTCTGCTTTAAGGTCATTCTTGCTAGGGGAAATGAAGCTTTTGTCTTAAGGACACTTGACTTAAAGCCGTCAGATTATGACAAAAAAAAGAGAAAGAAAATTAATAACCAGCAATTTTGGTCAGTGTAGATCAAGATGAACATTTTAACTTGAGCAGTAAATAATGGATTCATCAAACTTTAATAATGAAGAAACTTGTCTCTTTAAGTAAATTGATTGATTGATCTTAAGGTAAAAGTTGAATTTAAATAAACTAAACCTGCCACAATCTGTTAGGGAGTGGATTTAACTAGACTCTCACTCCTTGTGAATCCATCTTTCTATGATCTGGCCTATTCATCGGTGCAGTCATTAAGTTCAGTGTGTGCAAAACCAGCTTAAAATTCCTAGAAGTTTCTTTGACCCACGGATTTCAAGGCGTACTACTAAGGGACCCACCTTAGGTTTACCTCATTTTAAAAGTGACTGTAGCTGTATTTTCATAAAGATGGTTAAAAGCCCATTAAGTCTCACTTTTGTTTCTCGTATCTCTCACAGAAATCTGAAGCCAAGCTGGAGGAGATCTTGAAAGAAATCAAGTCCCTCAAGGACATGATCAGCAGTCAAGAAAAGCGAATCGTCCAACTTGAAGAGCAGATGTCCAAACTTGCCATTTAAGGACCCTTTTGCCCAACCCGCTACAATTCAGGACGCTCCACTGGCTGGGGGTGGGGGTGGGCGGGAACACTCACTGCCTATCTCAATGACAGTGTTTCGTCTGCCTAGCAAAGATCCCTAGCAACATTCCAGATGAACTTTTTCTTAGCCAGCTCCCAACCCTCAGTTTAAAACAGGTGGAATAAGAAGAACATGTGGCAGATTTAGTAGAAAATACTTTCTTTTTGGTGGCAAAGGACTTTTCCTTTTATTCTGTGGCAGTCTTTTTTTTTTTTTTTTTAATTGTGTCTACTTGTATAAAAAGATCTTACATAATTCTTTGCATTTTAGAATAATGATCAAGAAAACCATGTCAACAGCCCCCCACCCCCAATTTATCATTGTATAGCATCATGTTTTATATGTTGGCCTCAGTGTTTGGTGTTTGCCCTTCTCCAAAATTAAGACATTGCCAAATCTGGACTTTTGTTTACACTTCCTTAACAGTATTTTTTTAAAGTACAGAAACAAAATCAGTGATGCACTATGAAATTAAAATAATTTAATTGGATGGTTCTGAAAGGGAGACTGACAGATTAAATTTGTAGTTAAAAGAAAATACATTGCAGGTTGCCACAGCGGACACCAAACACTCAGACACAACCTTAAGTGACTAATTCTTGCTGTCTCTGTTGAAGCTGCAGAAATCCACACTTCGCCTCTGCTGTTTCCTTTCATTCCTGTCGCTTTTCCATCATTCCGACTGTGGACGTAATAGTCCAAGTAAACATGCATTCCTTTCTACCTTGCTTTACCAACATGCACTCTGCACTTATTCAAGAAAGTGACACATTCCACAATTCCTATTGGCTGTTCTTGGTATGAGGGGGGGAAAACACACTCACTGCGGTGACTCGGTCGCACTGCTTAGTTGTTGGGATTCTTTATGTGGTGCCCATGGAAAGACGAGCTTTTGCATTTTCATTCTTTCTGCGAGGAAAAACTCCAACCCGATTGTTTGGTTATCCATGTGTTTGCTCAGCACATCACTGTAGTCAAGTGCAGTGGGCTCATTTTTTTTGTCACTGCTCTTTTGTTTGCTTTGCCATCTGATGTCTGCGTTTTCTGTACAAGCACAAAAGAAAGTTTTCTAAAATGACATCAAATAATCCCGCAGCTACTTGACTGCTTTTAAACATGTGATGTTAAAGCTGGCTAGACCTCAAAGGCCTAATCTGGGTCCTCATGTCTCTGGCCTTTTAGGTACCAGCCACTGTAGACTTTCCACTACAGAGTTTTCCTTTTAATTTAGAAGAAGTAAGTAGTTGGGTTATTGCTTCAATGTTCAATTAAATCCTGTTTCTTGTTCCAGCTGTTTCTACATCCCTCTTAGCACTTCCACATCTTGGCTATTTCTCAGATGCTCCAATTTAGTGCAGTCAAATTTGAAAATGGATCATATTTTTCAACCTGAGTTGTTGTTGTTGTTGTTTTTTTTTTTGTTTTTTTTTAAAGATTGTTTCCCTGTGGGAAGCTGAGACGGGTAATGGTTCAATCTGTTGTTTGCCTTTAATAAATGTTACCACTGTAAAGACCTGAAAGTGCCATAGAGGTGACCCTGGAAGTGTTTTATTATTTTTGGTTTCTTTGTAGGTCGACTGTTCTGTGAGTAGTTTTGTGGAATAAATGGAGGCGAGGTGCCTGGAGTTTAAACCCACTTTGAGGTGCTATACTCAGTACAAAATTCAAAGGACTCAGTTTCTTACGTACTGTGTGACATCATGAAGTCCTGCCAGTCCGTAATAAAGTTCACCAGGCAGCATTACTTTGTCAGGGTTTGTCAAACACATTGTGCCCCTGACGCTGTGACACTTTCCTCTGGGGTACAAGCTTAAAATGTAAAATGATGTAAAACCAGGAATCTGTTAGCTGAGTCGTCAATAATCTGAGAATATTAGTGACAGGAAATGTAGAGTGTGATGCATGTTTGGCTGACACTGGTCATACTGCCATATCTTTTATATGAGACTGCCACTCTCTGGGTTAGCACTGTTGGCACAAGAGCGGAGTTTTGAGGAGTAGTAGCTTATAGAGATCCAAAGGGACACTGTAGGTAGAAAAATAAAAAATGTGTTGAAAGATAGATGTATGTTTGTAATTGAGGTCTAGAAAATGAGTGAGAACTGTGTAAATAACGTGACCATATCTATTTTTTTCCTCCCCATTTCTTTTGTTTTGTGGATGTGCTGAAGAGGGTATTTGTGTGGGAGGTGGATTTTTAAACATTCCCCCTGTTTGTTCCTTGCACCTTGCCATCATGAGAAAAGCAGAACCTCCGTTACGTCGGAGGTTATCAAGAAAGAAAATCTGATGAAAAATGAACCAGGATGAAAGCCTCGTGTGGAGGTCTGCTCAGCATTTTTGTTCATTATTCTTGCTTCAAATATCAAACCATTGATTATAAGAAAAATTAATAAAGAATTTTTAAAATGAGTTCACTGTTCAGTTGTTAATTAACAAATACACCAATTAATGATCAATATGACACTCACTGGACACTTTATTAGGTACTACTGTATGACACACACACAGAGTCAACATGCATTCCCAAAAGTCTTGAGTTATTTCTCATTTCTTTGTGTGGCTTGGAAAATAGTTGCAGTGTTGTTGTTTTTTGGTTGGTTTTTTTTGTTGTTTTTTTTAATCATTTGAATAAAGTAAAAGTCAATTCTGAGTTCATACAGTTCTAACAAGCTTGAAACTCAATACTTGGTATGAGCCATCCTTAAGATGGACCAACTGAAGGGAAAAATCTTCTCTCACGTCTTGTGTCAGGTCTTTGCTAGATTTTTTTTTCTTCTGTTTCTTAATCACATAGATGTGTGCAGGTTTTGGCCAACAGTTCTTTGGGAATCCCCTTGTTGGTGCAAACATGCTAGTTTGTGCCTGTCACACTTTAATCTTTACCATTTTCTACAGATTCAACTTAACAAATAGTTACTACCAGCCTCTTATAACACCTACTTTATTCCAAAGTGGCTAAATATAGAACTTGGTTCTTTGTTTGTTATGTGCAGACACAACACTGGTGCCTTTTTTTAATGCATGGATGATTCATGGGTCAGGGTTAAGTGGCTTAAAAAAAGAAAAACATTCCTGTGAAAATGGACGGGTACAAGAACTGGACTGAAAATGAATGAAAAAGCAGCCAATGTCCAAAGAAAACTGAAAGATTTCCAGAAAATGGCCTTCAGAAAGTGTTTTTTCAGACCACTATAAGAAAGGTTTGGCTCCCTGGAAAGAAAAAAAACCTATAATTGACACTTTTACGCAGTACTGTGTAACAAGACGAGAAACACGAGCACCCTTAAATAAATGCCCTGCAAGTTAAACAGTTATCCAGTGCTCCTAAAAGTCCATTTAGTTCATATATTTGCTCTGTACATGTGTTTCAGGATGAAAAGAGTGCTTTCTCCCTGTACTGGTCTTGTATGCCCTGCAGAGACAGGCTGTAATCAGCAGGAACGTAATTAGAGAGTATTCAGTGCAGGCCAAAAAAAAGTTGTGGAACTCGCCCCACCAAGAATAGAAATACCCTTTTCCGAAGAACTTGGGACTAACATGCACCAACTGCAACATATTTGTTTTAAAGATAAACACTGAGGCTAAGGTTGTATCTGTCAGTCAGACTGTGAATGGACGAGCACATACTGTGGCAAATTAGCCTTTCGTTGCAAATAAAGACTGTTTCTATTTGTAGAGCATCCCGTGTATCTTTTGTCCTGTTAGTGTGAAGTATCACCATGCTCAGATCAAATGTTTCTCAAAAAAACATATGTATGATAAAAAAATCTGGTCCCACATGGCCGGCTACATGAACTTACCAAGAGTTAGGCTGTTGGAGGATAGAAAGTTCAGAAAGAAAAAGAGGGAGGAGAACCTGAAGATGGAGGGCTGGACATGAGTTTGAGGTGAGGATACTTTTAAGAGCTCAGTAAAACAACAAGTCGGCACAAGTCAGCAGGGAGGGCGAATCCTCGGAAACGGTCTCCCACTCTTACTTTCTCGTCTGTCCGTCTTGTCTTGTCTCCCCCTTTTCCTCCCTCTTTCTGCAGTCTTACTCACTGCTTTGTGCTGCACAGAAGAGAAGCCGAGGCTAGCACATCCTGTAAGTATACATTTTACATTTGTAGTGAAATTAAGTTCAAGGTTAAAGAGAAGCCAAATATTTTCAGGATGTTTGACCTTTCATACGTTGTACTTTTATACATTCGTTTCACGAGTGGCAAATAGTGATGAAGAAATAAATGAAGTCTGAATGTTTGTGCAAAAGTACATTCGGTTCAACTATTTTATTTCAGAGATTTAAATGTTGCAAACTTTTCCCATAATCCAACTGTAAATCATGTGATGCATCACTACAGATTCAACTATGCTGATAATCTTGTGCTATAATTTACTCACTGCAAGGGAAAACCGCTCAACATGCAACTGTAATAGTCGTAATATTGCAGCAAAAGTTAAAGGGATCGTTGGTACAGTTCTTAAATACTTCTGTAGTTTTGAATGCACGACTTATTTATGGATTATTTTCTTCTGAATACTTCCTTAAAAAAAAGATCTAACTGTCTAACCTTGAATCTGCACCGTGTACCAGGTAGCCACAATTGTATGTCAAGAAATATTTGAGATGGTCTAACATTTGTTTAGTAAGTTGCTGCACACTGGGTCATCAGGCTGAATAGGTATATGTGTAAAATATGGCTCTGCACGTTCAAAGTTTTTCATGTAATTAAGTTTATAAAAGCTGTCACAAGTGTCACAAATTAGAAGGCTTTGAGCTGAAGATAAGGGCGACCCTCTAGTGAAATACAGGAAATGTAATTTTAGCTGTAATTATGGGGACTTAAGGGGCAGGGCCATCCTAGAGCTGTACATTCAAGGATGGAGACCCAGCCCGCCATCTGGTGCAGCACAGTACATGCTGTATGTTTGACCACACTGGGAAGGGGAGCTTGTCTTTACAGCTTAGCACTGTGTAATTACAGACTGGGTTAAAGAGTTAAACAGGTTTGCAGAGCTAACAGACTCACTGGTTTCGGTTAAATCTTCTCAGTGAGAGGAAGCCAAAAAGAAAAGGATGGAGAAATGTAACACTGAGCAAGCTAGGAGGTTTCACTCAGTCGTGGTGTAAATGCAGCTTTTCCTGGAAGCAGAAATATCCTCAGTGAGACTGTGCTGCTGTGGGCTGGTGAACAGCAGCTGCTGCCCAGCGTAAATATAGAGGCGAGAGCCGCAGGTCTCCCACGCCTCTGTGCTCGCTTTAGAATACAGTTTCCTCCTGGCTTTGGTGTGGTGGATGGGTGGCCTCCCTCTGCTTTACAAATTATAAGGCCTCCAGCTCCAAACTCACTGTCTCCACCCCGAGTAAGTAATGGCTACTCTGCTGTCTGCTAAAATAGATCTGGTGCAGGAGAGAGAGAGGCAGCAAATGAAAAACCTGGGTCAAGATGGATACCTGTCACACTTGAGATGTGATACGGTAAATATTTAGGGTGAGTGAGGAGCTTAAGATAAAGAGTAGCAACAGTTAGTGAGGCTTTTGTCCTACCAGCACCTGAAAACCAGGAGTCACTGCAACAGGCTGCTGGTCTTAAGGGAAACAGTCAGACCACATTAAAACTAAAGCTATTACATTTTATGTCTTCCTAATGTGTGAGGATGAAACCAACAAGATTTAGAGCTGTTTTAGAGGAGCTGTTGGGCACATTGTCATCCATCAGAATGAAGCTTTAAAAATAAAATAGCCAACAGAGCACTACACGTGTGCACAACACTTGCCAACAGAGACAGTCCAAGCAGAAACGTGCACGTCATAAATCTTACCCAAGACAGGACCACATGCCTTCTGATCAGATATTAAAGTTGAGAAAGGCAGTCCCAAATCTTTTCACCTAACAATCAACGTTATTCTTTCAGTGACTTCGAGTCTATGTGCTGCCTGAAATTAAAAGCATCCTCTTGTTGTTTCTGCAGGACTCAAAGAGAAGATGAAGTCTCACTTGGTGTTTCAGGTCTCCTGTGTGACCCTGCTCTCGCTGTGCTGCTCTGTGTGTCACGCCACACCTCTGTTCTCCAACATATCCATGGACGGCAGCGGAGATGAAGCCGAGCTGGAGCTCCTTTTCCCGGTGTCTTTCTCCACCCGCGCGCCTGTTCACGTTACCGCCGCTACCGGGAGTCCCACTCTCACCAACACCATAACCACCACCATGATCCGTCTGAAGGACTACGTCCTGACCCGAGTAGTGGACTTCCTGCAGGAGAACATGCTCATCATCATCGTGGTGACCTCTCTTCTCATTGTCATGGTCTTCATCATCTGCTGTGCCTCTGCAATGAGTCACAAGCGCAAGCTGGAGGCATATAAGCCCCTACCTCATCCACCCAGGAAGTATACGGCCGATAAAGCCGGAGGACGCAAGGATTCAAGTGACCTGCAGGAGAAACCGTACGCCGTCGATCACGTCAAGAGGGTCCAGACTCAGAGCATGTCCTCCCCGAAGAACCTGCGGATGCCCTCCAAGGCGCTGGTGGGAGAGAGAGGGAGAGACGTCCGGTCATCACCTCGACAGGAGGTCAGAAAGGTCAGAGATACAGAGGCAGTGGAAAAGCGGAGAGAGGAACCAAAACACAAAGAGAAGGTGAAGCACAGGGAGGAGGTTCAGCAGAGCTCCAGTCCCAGCACCAGCTCCAGCTCTAGCTCCAGTCAGCCAGTCTGCACCTGCCATCTGAAAAAAGGCCACCACTAGGTCACAGTGGTGGGCTTTTTCTCGCTTTTTAAACAAGATCAGAAACGGGCAAAGGCAAAATGGGTCCTCAAAATGTGTTTTCATTAGAATAGCCTTACAGAGGGAAATAGGTCTATATTTAAGTGAAGTCATGCCTCATGAAGAAAAATTACCCATCATTAAAGTCTAAGATCTAGATTTAAATATACAGTGAAGAGGATTATTACCCAAATCACTGGTTACTGAAAAGATTACAAATGGTACAGCTCAAATTGTTTGATTGATAAGCAGGCACGAGGAAAGATAGCAGCATACCGAGACCCTTTTAACGGCCACTTTGTCTTCATGTGCCGAAAACAACTTTAACTCGGCACGGCAAGCACAGGATTTTTCTTTTTCCTGTAATTACTGAAAAAAACATAACACCACTGTGCTACTGAGGCAGTAAAACTTTATATAATAAGTATTATTTTCCTGTGAATAACACTTTCAAAGGGAACTAAAATAAAGTATTATTCCACATACCTGTCCAAAGGAATCTCCTCATTATGTCCTGCTGGAGTGAAAACATCTGGATCCGTCATTTAGAGCAACACGTTCGGTGCTGTAAATAAGTCAAAGTGAAATGTCAGTAAACTTGACGTGATAAGTAGCAAAACTTTCTCTTTATATTTACAGTTATATTTACTTCATTTTGTTTGCATCGGGTTGTTAAGTTTCACATGATATCATATTTTATTTTAAAAACCTTTTAACTGTGTTATTTTTAGGTATCTGAACAAAGGCTGTATAAATTACCACAAATCTACTATGTGTACTGCATGTCATGGTAAAAAGAGATCACAGTGTGTTTCAGTTCTAAGGTTTCACGTATCAGGACATATTAAAGAATGATCAGGTCTTAAATTGAAAAACTGCAGACCAAAATGCAGAAGCAGAGTGTGAAACATTAAGTACGCTCCTTTAGCGGCGATAATCTGAAGTCATTGTTTTCTGAATGACTTTACGAGTCTCGCGCGTCGTTGTGGAGGAAGTTTGGTCCATTCTTCTTTGCTGCAGTGGTTCAGTTCATTGAGGTTTGCGGGTATTTGGCCTGCAGCATTACAATCGAGCTGAGATCTGAAATTTGGCTGAACCATTGCAACAATCATTCTGTTGTAGATTCGATGTTGTGTTTGGGATCATTGTCCTGATGTATAACCAAATTTAGGCCAAGCGTAAGCTGTCAGACAGATGGTCTCACATTAGACTCAACAATACTTTGGTATGCAGAGGAGTTCATGGTGGACACAGTGGCTGCAACCAACGTGCTTGACAGCTGTTATGAAGTGTTTGTGCTGATGTGCTGTGTTCAGTTTTCCCTAAACATGGCGCCGTGCACAGTGACCACACATGTCTGCTTTGGTCTTGTGGTTTAATCAGATGTAACTTAAACCTAAGCATCTCTACTGGCAACCCTTCCAAATAAGCCACATTTGTTAAGTCTTTTCTTTGATAATTGTTTTGTCATGAACTTTAACATTTAACATGCTAACTGAGGCCTGCACAGTCTGAGCTGTAGATCTTAGGGGCGTGGACCTTGTGGTGAATTTGCTGGGACATTTTCCACTTGTGAATTATATTTCTCACTGTAGAGTGATGGAGTTCAGTTTGTTTGGAAATGACCTTATGACCTTTCCCACACTGATGACTATTGCTGATGTCTTTCATCCTCAGCATTGTGTCAACACACCTGAATACCACAGACCTACAAACCTCTGATTTTATAAAGGTGCTCACACCTGCCAATGATTAGTTAATCAATGATTAGTTAATCAAATGATTAGTTAATCAATGATTAGTTAATCAAATGCATTTGGTCAGCAGTACCTGGCTGTTAGTTACCCCCTTACTTCATAATGGAAGGGTGGACTTAGTTTCCACACAATGCTTCTGCGTTTCAGCTTAGTCTTTGTTAAATCAATGACATGTCGTAATATGTCACAGGATGCTGTTCTGAACTGTCTTGAACTGAAAGAGGGTGCACTTTCTTTGTACGATGACTGTACATATTTATTCGGCTAATACCTTTGACCTGCTCTCAATGGGCAAATGTATAAAAAAGTAGGCAGTAGAAAACAAATGTTTAAGTTTTCCTTTTAAATAGTTAGTGCATTTATGTATACGATAAATTATGCTTTTTTTTTTTTAAGTGTAAACGTTTGAAATGTGAGTAGAAGGACAGACAGTTGGCATGTTTAGCTTACGTGTATAGGCTTGACAGATGCATATTTGTCTCTCTTGTCTGATTTTCTTTGATTAAATTACTCTGTCCTGTTGTTAAGTTAATGACCTTGAGCATCTAATCTAAGCCTGAATTATGTGCCGATGCTTTTGTCATGCTGACATACTGTTTTCCGCCCAACCTCAGCCACAGTTGCTTTCTTTTTTGACACTTGAATTGTTTACAAAAAGACCGTTTTGTTTTGCTTATATTTAATAAAGCTATCAAAAAAGATGTCTCTGAGTGCTGTAAATGTAGCAGCGTACATGGCTGAAGCTACGCCAAATGAAGCACAGATACAACCCTGTGGAAACCTACAATTAGAAAAGGCGAGGAAGGTCTCGGAAAAACAAGAGGACAATCTCAACGTGCACATTATGTTCCACTTGGGAATCTGTAATTTTGACCTGCGTCCACACAGAAATCACTGGTAACTATTTTAAGGTAATTACCGAAATGCCAGATCTGTGATATCTGCTCTGTGATGATATAGGCTGTCTTCTCTTTTAACAGTTCAAACCCCTGATCTGCAAAAGAAAAAAAAAACACTGCCAGAGCTTTCTGATTGGCCGGGATGAAGCCGCTGGCACCATCACCTCGCAGGACTGCAGAAGAAGGTACTCGAGCCTGGAGATGACGAGAGCCCCCTTTGTCCTTTGCTGGCAACTGTACAGAATTGTTTAATATTTCAATAGCAGTAATCCAGATACATACGGACCCTTTGGCACAAAACAGGAGCTCATGTATTGTTTATACAAATCCTGGGGACCCTGATTTGTTCCCATTAGAATTATGATAAAAAAGTCGAATCCCTTTTGTTCCATATTTTGAGCAAGTAATGAAATATTGATGCTGTATGAACAGTGCAACTCTTTCAGTTGTGTATTTTAATATATCTTATTTCCAGTGTGACATGGATAAATCATGATGCCATCTGAAATCTGTTTAAAAAAAATGTAGAAAATTCATAAGAATGTTTTTTGAATCCTCAAACATAAAACTCCTTTCAGGTCTTAAGTAGGTCAAACTGCCAAAGATCAAACAGGACATGATAGCGCACCAGCTGAAAAGCAAGTGTAACCATGTGGTGGCTGAAACGTGAGCCCAGACAGAGCCTTACACCGGGCTCAGATTCCCTGCTCTTTTATCAATGAGGTGCTAAATAATTCGAGAAAATGCTAGCCCCTTACTTTCACTCTTCCTTCCAGAAAGATGCAAACCTTGTAGCACATCTTCACTAAAGTCACTAATAACCTCCACCTTAGCTGGGCTCCAACAGGAGAATATTTAGGACATCCTTTTTTTCATACCATTTTTTTTTTCTGAATGTCTTTTGTATTTTCAGCTTGTTCATCATAAAACAGCTGACAAACAAAAGGACTTCTTGGTCAGTTCGGATGGAGAAGATGATCAAGAACAGGTAATAGAGCTCCTTAAGGCTGTCATTAAACTTTGATGAGCATCTGCCTGGAATTATCAGTAACGTCGGTTATCTTTAGAGGGACAGTCGATCACGTAGGGAGCATGGGAAAGCACCCCTGCCTGTCTCTTTGGAGGAGCAGATAATACACAGAAAGAAGAATGGTAAGTGAGGCAGCTTTCACTCTTTGGCATCACTTTATAACAAGTCACACCTTATCATGGGGTTTTAAGACGTAAGAAGTGGCTTTATAAATAGTTTTGGCAATTCCATGAATGGGTTTTACACTCTGCAGCTCTTTTCCATAAGGTCATTATATGTACCAGAGTGTGCTGGTGGAGTACTGGTATTAATAAATGGTTCATTAACCTTTAATAAAGCTGCTTTTGGCTGTTTCCTTATCCACACGGGATTACCACAGCAGGTGGCTCCACGTGTTTGTTTTGGCAGAGTTTCTATGTCAGATGCACTTCCTGATGCAGCCCCAGTGGAATTTGTCTGTCCTTCCTGGATCAAACCAGGGATCTTTCAGCTGCTTATTAACCGTTAATTAAGCCATATTATAACATTATACCCCTTCCTTTATAGAACTTTTAGAAGAACCATATCCTCTAAATTCATCTAACTTCTCGTCTTTCCTGCATTATTCTTGCAGTGAGTCATGCTTTGGTGCAGATGTGGTGTCCTGCTGGCTCTCTGCATCTGTCCTCTAGCCTGCCTTGCAGTGTCTCCCTGTCCTACTGGGTGCTGCTGCCCAGGATTTCTGGTTCTATGTGAGTCACTAGGCCTGAGGTCACTCCCTCGCTCGGTTCCTCTCAGTACCTCGGCTCTATCTGTGGCCAGAAACCAGCTCTGTAATGTGGACCACCAGCTCTGGCCCTTCTCTGGCCTCCAGGAGCTCAGCCTCAGTCACAATCTGCTAGCCCGCTTCCCTCGTGGCCTGCCTCCCAGCCTGGAGTCCCTGCAGCTGCAAGAAAACCGCATTACTTACATCACCTCAGGTGTCCTGAGGCAGCTGGGAAACCTCACTCACCTGGACTTAGAGGACAACCGTATTCGTGCCATCCAGCCCGGGGCACTTCAGGGTCTCCATAAGCTGCAGGTCCTGACGCTGAAGGGGAACAGGCTTACCAGTCTCCCCATGAGTCTTCCACCATCACTGACCCACTTAGATCTTTCAGAAAACTGCATCTCTGCCTTGGACCTGCCCTCACTGTCTGCCCTGGTCAACCTGCAGGTCCTGAAGATCAACAGCAACTGCCTGCGGTCAGTCCCAGAGAGCGCCTTTGACAGCCTGCCACGTCTCAGATCTGTGGACCTCACCAACAACCTGTGGGT